TAATTACTAGCACAAAACTAATACTAACATGAACATGAATAATAGTGTTAAGACTACTACAACTAATAATAGTCGCTCTAAGATTAGAGGCAAGAACAAGGGGGAGACGAGATTAACCTCAAGACTAAGACGAATACTAGGTTTATGAGCGTTACATGAACGTGTAGAGATCTCCCAAAATTGAAGACAATGTTTTCCTATTCCGAAATATTGTAGCAGTTTCCAAGAATTCCAAAATTTCCAAAATTTCCGAACTTTCCGAAATTTCCAAAACTTCTAAAATTTCCAAAATAAAATTTCCAAAGTTTCCGAAATTTCGAAAATGTCCAAAAATCTGGACCCTATTCCGCAGAGTCGGTCCTAAACATTAGGGGGAGAATGTTGGAAATTTTTACAAATTTCGGAAATTTTGGAAATTTCGGAAATTTTGGAAAAATGGAAAGCTAGGGGGAGAAATTTTGTAAACTTCGGAATTGAAGTTGGAAGAGGTGATTGCCATCCATCCGTTGACAGATCATGCCTGATTAAAAGGCAAAGGAAAAGGTGTGGGCTTTGGGGGGGTACCATATATATATATTATGTATACACATATATATGTATACACATATATATGTATACACATATATATATACACACACACATATTTACATACATACATACATACATACATACATACGGACACAGATAGATATGGATGTACATATACGGTGAAACCTTGCATTGTTGTATCGACGATACTACATGCGGCCATGTGAGATATGTGATTGTGCATGGTTTCGCGTGAATGTAGGTCTGGATGTATGGGTAGAACGGGATGCCTTCAAAAAGGAAACAAGATGTGCATGAAGCGTAAAGATCCATGCTAGTATGTGGCTACTTGTGATGCTATGTTATATATATAGCTTGCAAATATATACATATATATATATACACGTACATCTGTACATGTATGTGTGTTTATATGTACATGTCGATGTCTATGCATATGTATGTGCCTGTGTCTATGTCTATGTCTATATAGGTGTATGTCTATTTAGGTGTGTGTGTATATGTATATGTACATGTATATGTATAGGTCCGTATGCGTATATGTATATATATATGTACATATCTATATGAATATGAATATGAATATGAATATGAATATGAATATGAATATGTGTACATATGTGTGTATGTATATATTTATGTATATGTGCATACATTTGTGTACATATGCGTATATGTATATATATATATGTATGTAAATGTATACTGTCACCGCAAACTATGCGGTCGGAACCTTGGCTTGCAGCGCATCGTTTACTGCAGATTGAATAAGAAGTCTAATTTGATGGCAGCTTTTGCAACACAGTCGGCAAGTGGGCAGACAGCTTACTGCAGTCGCCTTGATGGGGTCTTTTGTTGGTCGGCAACTTCGCCCCTCCAACGGAAAGCGCGCTGCGATTTTTTCGCCTTCGGCTTGTGCCACCACTCCGGCCTCCGTTTTTTCCATAACATGACAGGACAAGCTAGCAGCTAAAAACTGTTCATTCGGAATCAATGCTGAGCAAAATTATACGGTTCAAATTTCAAGAACCAGATCCCCGAACATACACCCAAACGTACACGCAAAAGCTTGCACGAAAGAAGTGAATGTGTGACGGAGTTGTAGCTCGGGTCTCTATATAGTAAGGACAACACAACTTTGAAGTACTTCCCCCTCGGCAGAAACAGAAGTGCCAACGGCAGATGCCGAGCCGATCCACAGTGGCGAGAAATATTGGCTTAGAGCACACCCGGCATCAAGCCGGACAGGCTTTTTGGTGCGATGGGGTGTGACGCCCTCCCCATCAAAGGATAAGGTAGAGACCAACGCGCGGTGCGAGACAGTTGTGCCTGCGTTTTAAAAGCCTGGTTGGACGAATGAAAAGAGAAAGAACAAGCAAGAGACAGAGTGAGGCTCATCGCAGCAAGGCATAGCCAACAAATTGGCAGCTGAGTGTCTGTGTGGATCCAGGAAGTTGTGCCGGCGATTGTCTTGCAAGGTGGTGCGAGATGCCTTCTACAGGGACACCATCTCGTCTAGTGCTGCAAGACTGCAGGAACCGTTGCGCAAGCGGATGAGCCCGGCGGTGTTTTTTTTAATGAGCAGACATCTTTCCACTACAAATGATGAATGGCAGGACATCAGTGCTGCAGTTTGTGCCCTGTTGTATGCATTGCTTGCCTGGGGAAGCTTCGATCTGGCTGGAAGGAATCTCGTCTGTGATAGTGCAATCCAGACTATTGCCGGTGTCGTTTGCTGCAGATTGCTTCATTCTTGAAGGAAGCTCCCTCCGATCGCTGTTTCGCCGTGGCATGCGATAGACGGGCGCAGCTATGCCACCCGGCACAATAGCCTCTACTCGCATGTGGGACAAAGAGAGTGCATGCAAGCATCGCCGCATATCGCCGCCAGTCAGCTATCGTCTGCCTATGCTGATCTGTCTCGGCAAGACAGTTTGCGTTGCAATTGAACATGGTTTCAGACAAGTCGAAGCGCCTCAGAGATTCAATGCAAGCCCGAGGCGTGCAGGCGTCTGTCTAATACAGTTTTGGTGCCGAGTTTTCGCATCTTCAGACACAAGACTAGTGAGAGTGTAAAGGGAGACCGAGTGCGCTGTGTGCTCGACCGCAGACTTGTACTGTAACATCCTGCTGGAGTGGGCGCTTTGACTCGGGCTGATCAGGCTGGAGCAGCTTTCGGTGTCAAGTTCGACCTGTTGTCGTCGATGCCGTCCGCGCGGTCGGATTCGCAGTTTGTAGCTTGGTAGACATATGGGGCATCGTTCAAAGTTGAGCCAGTCTGAGCAGCTTCTGCTGGACCATAGCGTCCCGACACATGCTGAGAGTTCGAGTATCAAAACAAGCTGGATGCGAAGGTCCTCAGCGTCCTTTTCATGGCCTCCAATGCTCTGAGTTCTCTGTTGCTGTTGAATGTCTGCTACAACCGTGCCAAGGCTGGAGTGACGTGCGGTAACGGCAAGAGGTTGAGAGTCAGTGACTAGAGTGGAAGTAGTCCTCATTCGCCTCAAACAGTTTTGCAATGAGTAAAGGTTCATTTGTGGAGCAGCGAAAGTTTCTCCCCCATCAAAGTTTTAACTTCAGTTCACCAAAGTTTCTTGGGAGGACCTTACGACGGCTCAGCAACGTGTGGCACGCCACTTGTGCTTCAATCCTCGGTCAGAGTATTCATGAACAAAACAACAGCGAATTTGTCATCATCGCCTTGCTTGTGTCTGTAGACAGGTGTGCAAGTTGGTGGTACATCTGAGGTGTTCTTGCTGTTTTTGTGTTCGCCATGCTCGCAAACTGCCACCTGTTGGCGGTCCTGGTTGCTGGAGGCGTGTCCGACATCTGTCTTGTGCCAAAGCTGCGTGCGCATCTCGCACAGTCTTTTTTGTACCGTCGGAGTTCGCACCTCCGCATCATCCCAGCTTGCCTGCAGGATATGGCCCGGCGCTGCCGCTTCTTGCCAAGAACCCCTGCTTCGACATTTCAGTGTGCCTGGACGGCCCGTGCAAGACTCTCATTCCTTGGCTGACAACGCAAGGCTGGACATCTTCCACGTCCTACAAGGTCGCGTGCACTCGCGCATGAAGAGGAAGCCATTTTCGTTAGGATCCCGCCTGGGTTTCTTGTTGTTTGAGCACCCAGGTCTGATCATCGGCATCTGCTTCACCCAGCTACGAGAGGTACTTGTTGAGGACAAGGCAAAGGATGTGTAGAGCCAGCCCTCCGTTTTCTCCTTAACGAGATGTTTGTACATGCTGGCCTGTCCAACTCATCAGCAAAAGCAATCCATGTGAACTGTTGCTGGTACTTTTTGAAAGTTGGGAGCTCTGCAAGCCGAGCTGAAGCACTTTGCTAAAGCAAGATCTACAATTGCCTTCAATGCTGTCCCGTCTTTCTTGCACATGTGGCCTGAGAAAAATGCGGAAGCAGAAGATGTTCGTCAGCAGGGCCTGCGGTTAGGCCAACTTCGCTTCTTCGAGAAGTTTGTGCCACGCGCGCTGAAACAGCCGCGGTTTTCCTTCCTGGAGAGCGGGGCCTTCTCGGTTGCTCTGTGCATCAAATCTTTTGCACGAGAGGTTCTGTTCTCCGAATTAGAGTGAAAAACCATAGGTTGATGTCTTGATGGAGCTTTGTTCCTCCATCCAGACTAAGAGGCTGGCCGGTGAACTTGCAGGCCTTAGCCAAGGCAAAGCCGGACAAGTGGATGGCCATGTGCCGTGATCGAAAATGGGGTTGAACTTGTCTAGACTTTTGAGCTGAGTTCAACATGCTTTCAGATGGAAGCTGGGTATGGCTCTTTGCTGATGAAGTAGTTTGGGTTCCGGATCCGAAGAGTTGTGAACATGCAGGTGAAGCCCGTGCTTGCACACAGGCAGTGGACCTCCGGATGGCAGCCACGCTCAATCAGCACTTGCGTTGATGCCTAACTTTCGAGGCCACAACGATCACTACTGGCTCTTCGATCAAGGCAACGTGCAGGCCCTGCTTGTCGTCCCCTCCCTGCTGTGCCGACATCGCTTTCCTCTGAACTTTGTTGTGGGCTTGACTGATTGGCGAATGGTTCTGGCTGCAGCATGTTAAGTAGCGAAAACACATGTCTCAGCGCAGTGAAAGACCTTTGTGCTTCCCGGAGACAGGGCTTTCAGCATTTTTGGCTTTGCTGTTCTGATTTTGTTGGTGACTCGGGAGTTCGTGCATTGCTGTCGTCAACTTCCCGCTGTGACCTTTCGTGTGGTACTCCAGCTAAGCTAGAGCAGCTAGAGCCATGACCCAGGCCCACCAGCGTGTGACAGATTCCCTGCTCGACGGCAATTTGCACAGCGAGTCCATATGTCGGAACAGCGCAGTGAACCTTGGGAGCGTGCTGAGGCCAGCTTGTCAGAACAGCGGGACCGTGTGAATGAGCTGCAACAACCCCGTCGAGAAGCAAGCATCCTCCTAACCTGGTGGTTCAAAACAGAACAAACGCACACAGAGATGCCGTCTGTTGTAGGTCATGCCATTCTAGATGCCGTGCTGCGGTAGCAACTTCCAATTGCTGGCCAGGTTCATGCAATTTCGAAGCAAACTTTGCGAAACGCTACTCGGGGTGAGTTGGCCTAGCTGCGTGATGGCATTGCTCCAAAATCGTAACACATGCTGGAGTGCTCCCCGAAGTGAAACCAATTTGCCCCACCAGCAAACGGGCCAAGGTAGGTTCTGACCGGGTGCCTCGGGGGCCTTGCTGCATGCTTGGCATATGCCGAATCCGACTTTTGCTCACGGATTTGCTGGAAAGATAGGGTTTCTGTGCGAGTGGGCATCACGAAGACTGGTGAAACCATGAGAGCTGCATTGTCACTTCTCGAGGATATCGGGGTGACAGTCCAACCGTTTCTTCTCTGCGGGTCGTTCCCGTTCCCGAGGGACTGCGAGACCTTCATGTGGATGAAGTCACATTCGCGGTTTCGTGTCCTGCATTGCCCACTACACTCGATCTTTGTGTTCGAACTGGAGGCAAAAGATCGTGAAACGGAAGGCAAGCCGTTGGTGCCGACCTTACTGTCGAGTGCATCTCCGTGATGTGACGGTATGTGAAGGTCAAGCGCAGGGGCGGAAAACAGAAGTCGCCATGTTTTACTACCAGCATTGAGGTGAAGCTCAGTGAAGCCTCCTCACCTCATTCTTTCTCATTACTCAAAGAACGTCTTGTCCCAGCGATATGCAGCGTGCGCAATTCAGCTACTGCCATTCATCAATCTGAGATGAGCAGGAGTGTGAACTTTGCAAAGGTTTGGACTGATCTTCCCCTCTTTGCCAAGTCCGACGACGAGATCCATGGAGCTGATTTGCAGGATTGCCATGGATGGCCTGTCTGGCAGATTCTGGTGGCTCTTTGCATTCGCGGAAAGGTCCCTTTAAGCGACGCATTTGTCTCGGAAACATACTGCCAGCCGGTTTCGCTTTGGGAAGATGTGTCTTGAGTGAAGCAGTCCTGCCGGCCGAATGCTGCTGCTAAAGGATGAAGCTGATGCCGATACCTCCGAGAAGGATCAGCCTGGCACTTACGTTGCGCTGATCGTGGGCAACATATTCCTGATAGGCTGGAAACCATATGCGTGGTGGTGGCTGTTTCAATTTGATGATTCTGCCCAGGCTCCAATGTCCCATCTGCCTCGCCCTTGGAGCTTCATTGTTCGACGCATTCCAATGATGTGCAACCTCTTCGACACGATAGCACTTGCAATTCGGCCGCGTGCCGGCACCACTGGCTTGGATCCATACTTTGATCGATTTCGGACACCCTTAGGTCACGGGCTTCTCTGTGACCCAGTCGCTCCACCATGCGGACATACAGCCTGCCGGCGATGTCCGGGACTTTGGATAGTCACACGGAGTGTCTCAAGACTTTCTGAGGCCTGCACAGGGCTAGACCGTGTCGCCAGGCTTGACAAGAGCCCTGGACTTGCGCAGAGAGTGTCCGAGACTCAAGGACTCCTTTGAGATGCCCTTGCAGAAACTGCGATGTGCACTCTGGTCATGTTCGTGAGTTGCTTGGCTACTCGTACCTAGTGTTCTGCAGCGTGGTAATTTGTTCCGCAGCCTTGGATCTTCATTGTCGATGGACGGATGTTGATGTTCGATTCTGATTGTTTCTGGTCAACCTGTCAGCCTACGATCTTGTTTGGCTTTGACCGGGCTTGGCATGTTCGGCATGCTCTTTGTAAGCTGCTTCTGTTTGACTGTGCTCTGTCGCCACAAGGCCCATACTGTCGTACTGCGACAACTTGTGCAGAGCTTGCAGTGTTCTGATCTCAGCGTAGCAATCGCAGGCATTGCCCTTGAATCCCAATGTTCATTTGCACGCTGCAGATTGCAGGTCCGAACTTGCGGATCAAGTCTCTGAGCGGAGGCGAAAGAGCCGCAAGTTTGAGACGCACTCAAAAGTTGAGAGACATCGCTATCGTGAACCTTCCGCACGCTATCAAACGCATTCTTGACCTTGGTCCTGCAAAGATCCAGAAATTGTGGTCTGCTGGCTCAATCAGGCTTGGGGTTCGGACGGGTGCAACCGCTAATGATGCTAGTGAGTGGATGCTAGTGACTGTGGCGCACATACCTTGCCAGCAGAACAGGGAGAGGGACCTGTGGCGATTACGGATCATGGCATAGCCACTGCCTACCGCCATATCTACCAGAGACAGTCTTGTGCACACTTTGTCGAGGCTCCAGCCCACAGACACGACACAGATCTAACACAGTTGCTTTCAGAGCTTTCGGCATGGTAGCGTCTGAGCCGCCGGAAAGTGGCTCACTTAAAAAATGCTGCGAAGTTCCTGAGCACAGTCGGGGCAGAAAGGCACTGACAATTTGGGGTGTCGAACTGCTCTCAGGTGGCCTTGGGCAGCCGTCCACCCTCCCACCACAGGCCTGCTTCTCGTGCCAACGTTTACTCAGACCATCTCAGTTTGTGCCAGCGTCACAATGTTAGTCGTGGCCTCGTGGCACGGGCCCTAGATCGACATGGCCGAAAGCGCACCGAATTTGACTCGAATGTATCACTGGATGTTCATGTCATTTTCTGTTCTCACAATCGAGACAACCAGGACAGAGGACTTATCTGTTTCCACCGTTTTCCTCGCGAATCAGATGAACCAACTATACAATGCTCGCCAAAGCAACACGGCTCACAATTGGTTCGACCATGAGACTATGAGATGTGTGACCATGAACACAATGTTCGAAGCATGTCGAAGCCTCTTCACTCGTACTGAACATGCAGCTAGGGATAGCTTTCAAGGAAGAGTGCTGAGTTGCATTCAGATGCAATTCCTTTGAGTTTGTCGGCTGCTCGCCCTGTTCCAACACTCCCGTTCGATTTTGACGGCCATCGGCATCTGCTCTGGTTCAGGTTCAATTTGCGTGTTCTGTCACGGCCACTCTTCTTTTTTCTGGCTGTGGGGTGTGCCTCCAACTAGTCGGGGCCTGGGAATTGCTAGTCAGCTGCTAGTCCCAAATCAGTCTTGGGATTCGGGTGTATGTGTGTTCGAAACTTTATACCCGGCTTATGCTTCATGCTGGGTACGGGGTTCGCTCCTTCAAGGTTTCAGGCTCAGGGGTCAGGCTAACGCTTATCAAAGAATGCCTAGGGCCTAAGTCTCTTACATTCGTGCATACCATACCTGCGAACATCGCAGTCGTTGAATCCTTCCCAATCCCGAGTCTGGTGAAAATTCTTCCCCGGCTGGCTCCCCACGTGACTTAGGCTAATGCTAACGGAGACAGCAGTTTATTTCGGGTTTGCTACCTGCCATTGCTACCATACCTTTTTGCGTGTGGGGTTTCCAAAATGGCAGATTGCGCTCTCGCCAGCATGTCAGCTTCACGCATAGGATGTCTTTGATTTCAGTTGTTTGCGTGCGACGCTCAGAAAGATTGCTTGGCATTGACTGCTCTGTGCAAGCACGTGTTGTAGTAACTGACCGCAGTGCATGCCCTGTGCGCGCAGGAGTGCCTCTGGCCCATCAGGGCAGACCAGCAACCCGAGGCCCCACATTTGTTTGCATTGCCTCTGTTGCACTGGCGCTGGCCATCAGGTGGTTCACACGGTGGAGGAGTTTCTGGAGATCTTGCAGATGCAGCGGCACCTGGAACGAGTAGTTGCTTCCGGCTCAGAGTTCCCTCTGCTTTGGATCTGGGCTTGTAGCAGTGGGGGAATGGACGCACCAAAATGAAATGCAGTTGGTTTGGCAGTACCGTGCAGCTGCTGCTTGGTAGACTACTACTGATGTCGTCGTGGCGTGAAAAAAGGAGAGGGGCTAGGAGTGGAGCAGTAACTGGCCAGCTCTTGAGTTTTGTGTTTTGAGGCAGATGCCCGTGTGACTAATCTCGCGAATGTCACCGGCCAATCTACATTTTCATGCCTTGATTCGGTGACAGGTGACAAGGTCTCTGCTTGTCAAAAAAGAAAGCTTAATTAATTAATCTTTTAGTGCGATTCGGCGATGGGGTCTCTCGAGAGAAGGGAAAGACGGGGTAGAAGGCAGGGGGAGCCCATCACATCGAGGCAATTCACAGAAAAATCTGGCTCAGGTCTTGCCCAACGGCATCGAGCTACTTGGCCAGACCCGCGCGCTGCCGGAAGAGTCCTGGCCTTGGAAAGTCGTGCAAGAAGCGTTGCAGTGGAGCACCGCACCTCCAGGCTTTCTCAAGCAATTGCTGGGTCGCTCGGTGTCCGGGACGTGCTAGGGCGTCTCGGAGATCAAAAAGTGCCACGCCCAGCATCAAGCAGCGTGACACCGTGCATTGCAATTTGCTGTTCCCAAGCGCAGGCTTCGGCTCACTTCAGAGCGCCCGCCTTAATCGGAGTGAGTTGTCGGTTGCTTGGTCTTTTAGTCTCCACTCCAGACTTCAAACAGCACTGCATGGTTTGGATCGGGTCAACCGTCTGCTGGAAATCCCACAGTGCCTTCCAAAATGAATCTGAAAGTCAGGAGTCAGGAATCTAGTTGGGGGACTGCAGAGGGCCGACCGAGAGGTGACAGGAGAAGGACTTGTTCCCGGACGCAGGAGTTCTGGGCTGCGCGGCCTGCGTCTGCGTGTCCATGTTCTTTTCACCTCGAGGCTCGGCTTTGGCACTACAGCGCCCGCAGCAAGGAAAAAGAGATCAAGGTGCCGCGAGCAGAGAGCGACAGGTGCTCCGAGGATCTGCCACTTGTCTTGGAAGGTGCCCAAGTCTCGACCTCCTCCAGAGACTTGACAGCAACTCCGAGGGGCTTCTGTGCTGTGCCATACATTGGACGAACTTGATGCATTGTCCAACAGAGGATGGAATGGATAAGAAAAGCCTAGCGCGAGTCCTGGTCTCGTCTCTGATGCGGAAAGGCTGAAGTCTTTACATGTGTTGAGCAGTCTTGCACAGCTGTGACAGGCTGCTCTCCGGCAGGAGTTCCTGGCCCAGGAAAGAGAAGGCAAAGTCAAGGCAATTCTTTTATCGGATGCTCGATTCGATCCGGCACCATGCCGTGTTGTGCTCGAGTGTGCCAGTCTGATGCACCCCTCTACATCTCGGAGCTTCGATGGCAACGCAAGGCGGGTCCTTCGGACTGACGCGTCCGCAGATTTTGGATGGTTTGTAAACGACATCGGTACCTGCATCTAATCTAGGCAGCTCCACACTAGCCACTCAGCTAGCACCACTACCGCTGGTTAACTAAGGAACCTTTCCAACTAGCCAGCTATTTAGCAAGCGAGCGAACTAGCTAGCTGACTGACTCAGTGACTGACCGACGAACTGACTGACCCACTGACTGCCTGGCCGGCTGGCTGACTGGCTGGCTGGCTGGCTGGCTGGCTGGCGAATTCAGCAACCAAACCACTGCCGCAGTAGCTCGTGAACTGACCGACTGCCTGAGTGAGTGACTGACTAGCCCACAAGCATACTAAGACAACAGCAGTACACAAGCAAACGAGCACACAAGCACACTGATGTGTGACACGCACTTCATATACTATACTAGCTACATGGGTAGCTGACCAGCTTACTGCACGAATTAGCTAGTTATCAAGCAAACGAACAAACAACTAAGCAAGCAAGCAAGCAAGCAAGCAAGCAAGCCAGCGAGCAAGCGAGCAAGCGAGCAAGCAAGCAAGCAAGCAAGCAAGCAACTAAGCAACTAAGCAACTAAGCAACTAAGCAACTAAGCAAGCAAGCAAGCAAGCAAGCAAGCAAGCAAGCAAGCACAAACAAACAAGCAAGCAAGCGAACAAACAAGCAAACAAACAAGCATGCAAACAAGCATGCAAACAAGCCAACTACCAAACAGCCAGCCAGCTAGCCAGCCAGCCAGCCAAACAACCAACCAACCAACCAACCAGTCAAACACACAAACACGCAAATAAACAAAGAAACACGCAAACACAATTAGCAAACTAGCAAACGCATTAACCAACTAACTAACCAACCCACCAGCCAGCCAGCCAGCCGGACAGCTAGCCAGCCAGTGAGTGAGTGTGAGTAAGAGAGTGTTCGAGTGAGCGAGCGTCGACCAGCCCATTTTTTCCGCCCCTCCACCACACAGTTCAAGAGGTGGAGAAACTAGCTAGTGGAGACAGGTTACAACAGCAGGGAGAAGAACATGATTTAAGATATAGCTGGAGGAATTTTTCCAAGGTCGCAAAGGTCTGTCAAGGTTCTGACGTTTGATGGAAAATGGCTGCCCCGCCGCAATGGACTACTTTGGCACTCATTCCAGATGTGAGAAGACTTCTTCCAGGCCATAAACTCTAGAACCGACTGGATATTGCGACCCTGCCTGAAGGCCCACGTGTCGTGACCAAAACAACCACGCCCGATATTCCTCGTGCCTGACATGACTGAATGCTTTACCCACCGTTCACTGAAGTTCCAACATCCGTTGTACAGCGAACACGAAGTATGCACGCCCATTGAATTGAGGTTTTGTAGGCCGTGCTCACGCTGGCGGATTTGCATGTACAAGGTACGTCAAAGTACCACACGACTGTGCCAAAACAAGCATCAAACATGCAGCTCGAAACCAAAGCGCTGCAGTACAAGTACTTGCATCATCGAGCCATCTGGCTCCGTTGCTCGGGCAAGCCCGGGTATGCTTGCAATCCAAACCATACTAGTGACCAAGACAAAGTGCACAGGACGCGGGGGACCGGGCAGGTCATGTGCATCCCATCCTACACCAGCCGGGCTCTGAAAGATGATGCTGGAAGTAGAGCAAGACATGTGTTCGGTGACGCATACCCCGATCATACCCCAGTCTCGAAATAGCTAGCCGGCCAGCCATCGAACGTGCGAACTAGCCGACTAGGTACCTGACGTTAGCTAGCCAACGAAAACTGACTAACTAGCTAGCCAGCTAACTAGAGAAGAAGCTAGCAGCTATTCGTAAGTCTTAACCTTAGCTAGCTTGCTGACCAGCTGACCAGCTAGCTAGCCAGCTGCGCAGCCAGCTAGCTAGCTAGCTGGCTGGCTCTAGCTCGCAAGCCAACTATCTAAATGCATGAACGGGTATATAACATACATTACCATGCATGTGCAAATCTGTTGTATTTCTTGCATGCGCGCATACACACATACATTCGCACACGCAGATGTAGATAATCTAGGTGGCCGCTTGCAGCATGTCTCTGGCATGCTGCTCTACATGATCGAATCGTGCAGGTCTCCCATCCACTCAATCCCAGTGAGTGGGTGAAAACAGAGCGCGCCTTACGCCATGTCTGAGAATTGGGTACCTGCCCTCGTCTCGTAAAGCACCTGGGAAGCCTCAGGCCACCAGCTGCGACGTTTTTGACGTTACACCATTTTCCAAGTCAGTGCCTCATGTGTCATGGACTTTGTCGAGATACCGAAAGAGGGCCCTCCTGTTTTTGTCGTTTTCTTTCACCTCTGCTTCTAAGGCAGATGCCACTCTGGGAAAGGTCCGAGGGTGGCATCTTCGTGGGTGAGCGTGGTGCTGGCTCAGGGTGCACTTGGCCTGGTTGGCGCTGAGATGTTCGGCCACAGATGTTGCATCTCTAGTTCTTGCAGGTTACACGTTGATCAGTGCCTCTGGTCCAATGTCGGTGGGCGCCTCATTGGCCACGCATCAGATGCCCGCAGCTCCCATCAACAAACGAATCAGTTTCCGGGGTAAGCGGATGGGAGGAGGTGGAGGTTTCTGGAGACGTCTATTTCGGAAAACTTAGACAAGCACTCAACACAGGTTTTGTTTGAGACACAGTCGTGGACTCCGTGTGCCACCGGCCTAAGCTCCTCTCGCAAAAAGGAGCCAGATAACAGAGGCTAGACAAGCCGCTTGCTCTGTCGTACTTCCAGCTTCGGCGTTGATGTCATCTCCAACACGCAGCAAGGTCGCAACTGGTGCGGGTTCAAACTTTTTGCACTGTGGCCTTGGTCAGTGCCCCGTGAGAAGCACGCGAAGCTCGGGGGGACAGTTTCCGTTGCCCCCAGAAGTGAGTTGGTTGCACAAGGTCAGAAAGGCATCGGATATTGGACGAAGCTGGCAAAGGCCAGGAGCTTGGGCTGTTTCTCTGGCTACCCAATGCTGCCAGTGCATCCTGGTAAAGGCGCGATTTTCCATCCTCCACTGACAAAGAGAGAGGACGCCTACTGAGCATGCTTTGTTTTTATTTACCTGGCAAGGCGACACCCTATGCATGAGAAGTTTCAGACTGCGTCGTGATCGTGCAGCACAGTGTACAACAAGCGTCATGTGCACCTTCTTTTTTGAAAAGGTGTTGTGAACAGCTCCCTTGCGCACCTCTGCCAGCAGCCTTTGTTTTGCCAAGCGTGCTCCAAGACACCGTCTGCTGTTGTAGATTACATCTGTACTTGCTCGCACTCTCGCAGGTATGCGTACGCACCAATCAGATATGCATGCACGGGCATGCAGCACACTTTCCATTGTCAGCCTGAATCGCCTACTTCCTCTCCTTCTCGCAGCTGTGCCAGCTCTCTGCTCTACTCTGCTCTATGCTAGACGCTGCTAGATCGGTCACAGACGAGCGGTTTGTCTCGGTGCCTTGCCGGCCTGCTTCGACCCTCAGCGTGCACCGAGGAGGACTTCCTCAGCCGTGCTAAAACGGTTCGGACCTGAACGAGATGGTTCCAAATTCCAAGCCAGTCATTGTGGATCCAGATAAAGACCACCAGGTCGCTCTAGTTGGGCCTGGAGACGTCTGGGCTTGGGGCTCGAAGTGATAAGTCTTGAGACTCACGGTTGCTCGTTTGCGCGTTTTCTTGCCAAGGTCTTCAGCGGTGGGCAGCCGCACACAGCCATGTGTGTCGGAGACGGTGTCAACGTTTGCGCATACGAGCCTGGCCTTCCAGCTGCCTGATTCTCCTGATTTGGTGACAGCCTAGAGGTCTGCAGCCAACAGTTGCCGCCATAGTATGTTGAACCTTAGCATAGGTACAGTGTTGATGCATTTGCAGTTGTTCGGCTCCTGACTCATACTTGCTCCTTGCCACCGCTCGCTCACGACTTCCAGCATCCCGTCTCAAAACAGGCAGCCAAGCTGCTGGTCTTGCCAGCTTGAGTTTGCCGACTCATGTTCGACACTTCCGAGCCGCAGCATGCAGCTTAGGTGCTGATGAGCGCCTATGTCCCTGGTGATGCTTGCCTCAAACACAATTGGTCCACTGTGTGGCGTCACGTGCAGGCAGTTTTGGATATTGAGCCTGATCAATCTATGTGAAGCCTTTGATATTTCATACTAGAATACTAGAATACTAGAATACTAGAAAATTGAACGGTCTCGGGACCCTAAATGCCTCACTGATCATCTCCGCACGGTTGCGTGTCTTGTTTCATGAGTCCTTTGTTTCCGGGTTCCAGGCCTTGACTAAGTCAGATAGCCGGCACCCCTTGTTTCTTTTGCTAGTCTGGTGATAGCGTGCTTTGGAAGATGCATGCAGGAACCTGCCGATATGGTTGAATCTGCGACATAACAAGTAGATGCTCCGAAACATGTCTTTGAGCATAAGGATAACCTGATGCTGCTTCGCGTGCCTAATTCCACAAAGAGCGGCGTGCCGATTTCAGTCTCTTTGCTGCAACACCAGTAGCTCATGCATTGGCGCTTCTGTAACATCTTACTGCCATGCCTTGGCTGTTTTTCTGGAGTGGATTTCCTCACTTCTCTGATTGGTGTTTGCGGCTGTTGTTATACGTTTGCATTGATGCAAGAAGATCTGCTTATTATGTATGTGATATATGCAGCAGTCGTGTGCTGTACCCGTTGCGCCGAGGTTTGCGGACGTCTGTGCTACGTTTCCAACACGACGTCCCTCGCCAATGTGCAGTCAGAGCTTCAAGCCTTTCTCGGCATGCACGAGCAGGAGCCGGCAGCGTCAGACCAGCTGGCTGTTGGATGCTCTTGGCGTGCCCTCTTGTGCCTGTGACCTCTTATGTTTTTTGATTGACAGGAGTTCGATTTGTCTGACAGCGCTGGCAAGAGGAGCCTTGGCTAGGGTGCAGGAGCAGGTGATCTCGTCCCATGTCGACCCATCTTCGCTACGTGGCCGCTCAGGCTGGTGACGGATCAAGAACTTCAAGCCGCGGTTCAGGGTTGCCAGACTTGCATTGGTGTAGTTTGGCATGAGCACATTTACGTTCCTTCGGTACAGTCGGAGGATTCATGTCGGCATCAGGCGCAGCTGAAGCACATCCGAGGTAGCCTCGTTCCGCTGCAAGCTGGCCTTTCAGATGCATCTGTTCACCTCATTGAGAATCGTCGCGAAGAGTTGGCCCAGATGCAATGGAAGGCGTGATTGAGGGCTCTGCAAGCAGCACCTTTCTTCAACGGAGCCTTTCATCTCATGGGCATGAAACGCATCTGGTGCCAGGTGCTGCGCGACAAGCTCCAAGGCTGCAACAGCGACGTCTTGGCGCTGTCCACGCAAGTCTCGGAGCTGCAACAGCGGATCCTAAGCAAGCAATCAGCGGGTTTTTGGGGTCCCCAGGTTCCGAGCACCGCAGCACCGGAAACAAGTCCAAATCCGCAAACATCTTCGCAAGCCAAAACAAACCGCTGGCTGGTGTCGGGCAGTGTCAGAGATAACAAGCGATCGACGCCGGTGCCATCGTAACATTCTTGCTTGCGTGAGGTGTTGGGAGGCAACAGTTCATAAGGTCAGCTTCGAGGAAGCAGGGTCTACATCCCGGTGTGTAGCCCATGCTCCTCGTTACATTGACGCAATCTCTTGCTGACGAGCGAATGAACGTCGTCTGGCTTTTTGAAGCCTTCCCAGGATGCAGAAGTAATGAAATGCCAACACGTCACTGCAGTCTTGCAAGGATCCAGCTGGAAGCAAAAGAGCGTGAGAAGGTCGTTGAGGCCTCGGGGGACATGCATGACCACGTTCAAGTGTTCAAAGACTCGCGGATGCAGGTTGCAGTGCAAGTGTCGCCAATGCTGGAGAGAGAGGGGCTAGACATAGGCTAATCTCAGACTTTTCTGTGTTGGTCAGGCTTTGCGAGCAGATATTGGCAATCAGCTGAACCAAGATCGGGCAGCCGTGGAGGTTGGCAGTGATCGGGGTCGTGCGGGTTGTAGCCAACTTTTGTTCGTTTGTTGCTTTCTGACGCCGAGGCCAACATGCATCAGCTGTCCGAGCAGATCCACTCCTTCTCGAGTCTCGTCAATGCAGCTGCTCATCCGCACATGATGCTTCTTACATTTCACAATCACCATCAGTCACCATTAGACCGTGTGGGTCAATTGGCCAGGAACAGAACAAGCGCGAGTATGCACACAAGGTGTTCGACAACCAAGTCCAGGCCTTGCGACCCTCAGCACACGGGGGGAATAGATCTTACCAAAGAAGTTGGGGCCGGGTTTTTCATGGCTCAGCCGTAGAGCCTTACAGCCGCAGAGCCGAGTGAGCCCAAGTCCGTCTGCCGGCGAGGAAGCCGCAAGGAGTCTTCTTTTGCCCGGCAAAGAGACCACGGGCCCAGTTGGCAAGTTCACAGACCCGCTGAAGACGACACCTCGAGTATGCGTGGGGATTCCCCTCGCTTGTGTCGTCGTTTGATTGCTTGACATATCTCGATTGTATTTTGCTTTGGCCTGCGTTGCATCACTTGTGTCGCACTCGCATGTGGTTTTGGCATTTGTGGGGGTGGACATGTCCGGAGTGGGTTGCAGACCCGATTCCTCCTTATCGTTTCGGAATAGCATATTCTACCCATTCGCTGTTTTCAGGCTTCAGCTCACCTACTTGGGGACTTGGGGTCGTCACATGCAAGTACAGGAAATCAAGTGGGGATTGCAAAAAGCGCACCAGTGTGACAGCAAAACAGCGGAAGGGGCACCTAAAGGATGGAACCGTCGGCAAAGATAACACTCGCCCTGGCTTTGTTTTGAAGCTTGTCCCCGTGGGAACAGCTGGGCTCATGCGGTCCAGTCATTGCCATGGGAGGATCTTCGCAATGCCCTCGATGCTGACCGAGCAGACCGACGCCAGGCACACCCACCGCACTTGCGACGTCTGCCGAAGCCTTTCGGAAGTGTCGTGTTTTTGGCAGGAGTCCGACAAGCATCTCGCTATGTTGCGCGAGGGCACGGTTGGCCTCGATGCGCAACGGCATGCGTTGGAGCTGCGTGACTGTCATTTTCGTTCAATATCCGTCAACGGCTTGTCTGCTCTTTGAAACTTCTCGTGTGTATTCTTCCATCGAGTCAGGTCCGTGGAGCAGCGGCACATGCTGGATTTGCAAAATATCAGATCGGAGCTTGCACAGGCTTCCAGGCTGGCTCTCTGACATGCTGCTGACTTGCCCACGGGCTTAGTCAAAGAATCAATGTGGGCCAGTTGCCTACCGGTGAACATGAACATGTATCTAGTCATCTAGTCCTTTCAGGAAGGTCACGGCCTTTGCCGATGAGCAACTTGGCGTGCTTTTTTCACGATTGCCTATCGCTCCAAAATCCAAAACGGTGTGTTGCTTCGAAGGCAGCTCGAGTTGCTTCGTTTGTCCAATGAGGACCCTGAGTGCATCTGAAGACCGTCTGCATCGTACTTGTGGGGTAAAACTGCAGACCTCAATGCGAAATCCCACTAGACTCGATTGCTTGCTTGTTTTCAGAATCTTTTTCAGAATCTTGTGTGCATTGCCGGAATGTCAGGAGCTCGCACGCAAGTTGAAGACTCTGGAAAGCCACCTGCCCATTTGGGGGCTTTTGGACACCGCTTAGCTCGCACACAGTGTATTCTGTTTTATTGTGCGGCTGCTCCTGCTCTGTCTATGGTTGCATATCGCAAGGTGACACACACAGGAAACTGGCAGAAGTTCAAGCAGGCAATGAGCAGGCCATGAAGAACGTCAGTGCAGCAGAGGTTTGGGGCTTACATCGAGCGGAAGTATGGCAGTCGCGGAATACTGAAGATCGGGTTGAGGCTCACAGCCATGAGATTGATGCGCGGCTGAGCCAGGACAGGAGCAGCTTGTAGTGTTGATGCAGCCATCCCCTGCCTGTGTGGGAGTTGGTGTGTCATCAGTTGGGCTTCTCGAGCTATGCGTGTGAGTTTGAAACGGTGGGGGAAACCCCAAAACGATACCCCAGCTTCAAGACCTGCAACCTGCTGCTTCTACCACCACCACCACCACCACCACCACGACCACCACCACGACCACGACTACGACTACGACTACAACGACAACAACAACAACTACTACTACTACTACTACTACTGCCACTACCACTACCAGTGCTACCA